ATGGCGAGAGCGTGTTGTATACAATAGTTGTAGTCGAAAATCGTACCGTCTAAACCGGCCTTTAGATTAGGCGAGCGCGATGGAAAAAAAAAAAACAAAAAAAAAAAACATGAAGTTCCCTAAGAGTAATTTTCTTATGCGATCAAACTCGAGAAATATTATTTACACTAATTTGTGTAAATTACAGTTATTCCAAAACATTCTAACCCCTCTAATTGGAATCAGAATTATTTTTAGCTATGGTTTTGTTCTCATTTACTTAACTCGAACAATAAATTCCAATTCAGCCGGAATTCCGCTAAATCGGAAAACCCTAATGAGAAAGTTTTCTCAAAAGATGTTCTTGTATATTAAAATACATATTGATCAACCGATTATTTACATATTATTTACATACTATCTACATATTTTTTACATATTTGTATATTTACATTCATATTTACACCTGGATAAAAAAAATTGACATGAAGACTTATTGATGCTTGTTGTATTTGCGTTTTGGTCTATTTACATTGTTCACTCTATAGTACATCTTTCTATTCTCTTTCTCCATAACCTGTGAAAAAAAATTGCATAACATGTATCACATTGCAATTTTGTTGACATATATGTGTTAAAAAGTTCCTTGCTAGTATCAAAACTTTCTTTGGATGAATGATCTGAATGTACTTTCTGTTGATCATGTAATTAGCTGGCATTGATGAACATGTGTGGTTTTATTTGTTATATTACCTGCATTGTGTAATTTGAGTGCTTGCCACCTTTCCGAGTACCACGATGGAATGTTCTGTTTGTAGGTGGTTTTTCTTTTCTGCAGTCTGACAGTTTATATGGTGAATGGTGCCAAACTTGTTCAGAAACTGAGGAGCATGATAAACTAACACTGCAAAACAAATATTTTCAATTCATAAGAATGTGATAAAACATATGAAGGAATTTTGTGCAATAATAATGTTTGATTTTTGAAAGAACATGTGCATACAGAATAAAAAACAAACAAACAAATTTCTTACCGTGCATGTAGGGGATTACATCCTGAAATTATAAAGATTTATGTTACTATCACAACACTAAATAAATATAACAGCTTCTACTTTCAA